AAAAAAAAAAAAAAGATACAGTACAATATGGCTCCAGGGGATCGTACCAAGCTAGAATTATGTCTGGGGCTGGTGTCAAATGTGGCTTAAATAAAATAGCAATGCATTTCTCTCATGTAAATGTCCAGGGGTCTCTGTCCTAGCTCTTTATGATAATATTCAACCCAAGCTCAGCTAGCCAGGTGTGAGTGGCTGAGCACATGACCCTGCAACCTGTTCCTGGCAGGACAGTTACACAGGCTAGCAGACGGATAGACTGGGCAGTGACGGTCTGAGAGATCCCTTTCCACTTCCAGGAACTAAAACACCTGCCAGCCTGGGGAAGCCTGCTTCCTAGCATGATGCTTGAGGCCCTTGAACAAAGTCCCACCTTGCCCCGCTACTCTCCCTGAGCTCATCTTAGCTTCATACATCCCCACTCTGCTCCCATTTGTTACAGTTCAGATTTTGGGAGAGATTTTGAATCCATGCCAGTTCCTTGTTGCAGTCCTTGGCGATATTGTTCTCTCCTTCCCAGAACTTGGCAAGTCTTTACTGAGCACCTACTATGTGCCAGGCAGGGAACTGTGCTGGGAGTGGAGAAGAACCTAGTTCTCCTGAAAATGGTCACAACAGCTGAATAGGGCAGGATGATGGCAAGGGCTCTAAGGACAAATAGACATTCACTGAGTGGGAGGAATGAGAGGCGCCCCAGACAGAGGCTGTCGGCACAGCGCAGACAGAGGTTTAGGAGACATGGAAGGATATGGTGTGTCAGGGAGCAGGAAGTAGCTCTGTGGGGCTGGAGGGCAGGAGATGTTGCAAGGGTGGGTTCCTAAGTGACCATTCTCTCTTGGTAACCACTCCACCTTTCTTCGAGCATCCTTCCTCCTCACATTTCCCATACACATGGGAGGAAGTTGATTCTACTCAGGACCTAGAGGTGAGGCAGTTAGCCCGGGTATAGACTACTCAGCACAATCCCTTCTTATCTGAGGAGGGGAGTGACTCATTCACACCTGAGAAACTGGAGAAATCTTTGCTGGCAGCTCTAGAGAAAGCAGCTCTCCCTCTTTCTCCTAAATCTCATAGAGTGTTGGTGTGAGGCCAGGAATTGCAGCAGACATTTTGTCACTATGAAAAGGTCTTCTTGAACATGAAGGCAGCACTATGCAGGACAGAGAAAACAACAACCAGAAAGAAGCAGGGACTTTGAGGATATCGTTGAACCACTGAGTCAAATCTACACTAAACCTGCTGTATTCTAAGGCCTAAGGCTAGCTTTAGGGAGTAGGTCACAGGGTGAGGGCCCTTGACCTCTTTCTGGGGCAGGGGGGCACCATACAATGTTTTCAAGGAGAGGAGTAGGCTGACTGACCCCTGAATTGCAGGAAGTCGCTGCAGGGCCCTGAGCAAAGAGCTACACCAAGGCCTGAAATGTGGGCCTGAGCGAAGACAGGTGAAGATAGCAGAGATGAAGGCTACAGAGACACAGAAGCCAGGTGAACTGGAGCGGGTGCAACAGAAAGAGCCTTAAACCCCTACCCTGACTACAAGATGCTTTCCTCTTCCGCCTCTGTCAGTGGCCCTCTGTGAAACCATTTCTTCTGCCACGACTCTCCTTCCCTCCTGCGGATTCCTGCTCAACTGCAGGTCTTTATGCCCACACCTGGTCCTCTGGAGCAGGGCCACACTGTGCCATAGCTATGTCCCTAAAGACGAGCCTGGGCCACAGTTGGCACACAGTGGATGCCTACTTGGATGCTGTTGACAGCTTACTGGTTCCTGCTCTGAGCTCAGTGTCAGCTGCACCATGCCCCTCTTCCCCAGGGCTTAGGCATCTGTTTCAGAAGCAGCTTCCAAAAGCTGCAGCCCCAATACCCAGCTTCCTGGTTGTCGGCAGGTGCTGGAAACCTGGGTGCCAGAGCAGCAGGGAGGCAGTCACAGGGGACAGGCCTGGGCGGTGGGTGCTGGCCAAGTCATCAGGGTCATATGCATTTATGAGAGGCATGCATGTGCCCTGAAAACCCTCCCGACACCCCTCTGCAGGAAACAGAACCCAGCTCCCCTCTCTCGTTTTTTCTCACCTGTCTTGTCTTGTGGCCAGAAGCACATTTCAAGCCTTCCTTGCTCCTGCAATAAATCAGTGTAAGTGCACACTTCCCTCCGCTGCAGGCTGGCTCCCCGGCCCTTAGCTCTTCCCATTCCTTCAGGCCTGCAATGCTTGGGTTCAACTTCACAAAACAGTAACCCTTTCGCCCCTTTCAGATGTGGGATCTTCATTTTCCTGACCCCTGTCCCCCAACTTCCCACCTCTCTTCATACTTCATCCCACGAGATGCCAAGGGTATTTGGCAATGCTCTGGGATCTTACGACATTGGGGGGAACTGTGTTAATCTTTTACTAACTCTACAGAGCATTTTCCTTATTCTTTTAATAGCAGCCTCTAGGCCCCTCCTTCCTCCAACCCTGAGGTTTTCCTCGTCACTGCCCCAAGATCCCAAGGCTTCCCTCTGGTCTGTTTCGTCAAGGAAATTCCTGGTTCCCAGCTAGCCTGTGCTGCTTCTCAGAAGGGCTCTGCGTCTCAGCTCTCATCTGCCCCAGTGTTGTGTTGTCTTCTCTGTCACCATGGCAGGGATTAAGACTTGAGCCAGGGAGGGCGGGTGGAGAGGAGGAGTGAGCAGGAGACGCAGAGGGGGTGAGGAACCTGATTGGAGGCTGTGGAGCTAGAGAAAGCTGGAGAGAAAGAAATAGGCTGAGTGTGGCAGGGAAGCAAGAGGGATTTCTGTTTTGCATTGTTCTATTTTGGTTTTGGTTTTTTGGTTTTGGTTTGTTACCGGAGGTGACGGGAAACGCACATAGGGCCGAATCCTCCCCCAGTGCAGTGACACAGCTAAAGCAATCCCTCCTCCATCCTCAGTAATCCCAAGGTGATCTTCAGATCCCAGATCCAATCAGGAAAACTCTCAAAATAGCTTCCACTTATTCCCAGTTCACTTTATGGACAAGATTGCTCTGTCAGTGGGACAATGTGACCCAGTGCCACCCGAGGCCCAGGCAAGACAGGACCAAGGTAGATGCCCAAGCAGGGCCCAGACCCACACCCACTGCTCCAGACTGTACTCCCAGTGCCCAGGACCCCATTGTCTCTGCCCACATGGCCCAAGCTCACTTCCAGGCCTTGTGTGGCTTCTTCCCATGGTCCACTCTCAACATCGCCTGCTTGGCTGGGTGGTGGACAGGACACAGAGTTGCAGGCTAATGCCTGGCACATTCATGTGGGAAGGCCCCGGGCTAAGGATAAGGACCAAAGGAGGCCAGGCCTTGAGCTGGGGCTGCCTCTCCCTGTGGTGCCATCTGAGCAATCAGGAAATGCCAAGTTTACATTTGCTGCCCAGAAGATCACAGAGAACCCTTTGTGAAGGCGGGTGCGTAAGACATATTCTATGGTTTGTTAGCATTGCTGATAGTTTTTAAATTGCTAGATACATGGCTTATGGATCCTGGTGCAGACACCTGTTTCCAGCTCTTTTGGTTCTTTGGCCCAGCTTCCTCTCCACACAGCTTCACTCAAATGCTCGCACACTCTGGGAGACAGTAAAAGCTTTTCACAGGTGTAGTAAGGGCAGAAGAAATGGCAGAGAGGCAATTTGGTGTCCTCTCTCAATCCTTTTTGGTTGTCTAGAATGTTAACTTTCTATCACCATGACAAATATTAGAAAAATCAACTTATAAGGAGGAAAGGTCTATTTTGGCACATGGTTTCAGAGGTTTCAGTCCATGGTCCATTGGCACTATCATTTTTGGGTCTGTGGTAAGGTGGACTAGCATGGCAAAGAGCTATGGTGGAGCAAAGCTGCTCACCTCATGGTGACTGGGAAGTGAGGAGAGAGAAAGGGCTGGAGCTCCAGAATCCCCTTCAAGGACACACCCCTAGTGACCTTACTTCCTTCTACAAGGCCCTACCTCCTAAAAGTTCCATCCCTCCCAGCAGCACTGCAGGCTGGTGACTTCAGCATACAGGACTTTTGGGACCACTGAAAGGTCAAACTATAGTATCTAGCTTTCAAATTCCCATTCTGTGTCTGGAGAGCATCCTACCCTGGAGTCCCATGCATTTTTGAGATATAACAGGGAAAGGAGCTCACATCCTAGTACCAAAGACAAAGATGCTAAAACTTGCAGTGGCAGATATCACCAGGAACCTCCCCTGATGTGCACGCTCCCTTTCTTCTTTAGTAAGAGTATCTCCAGTCTTAGCTAGGTACTTGACTACCCATATCAAAGACTATATTTTCCAGACCCTTTTCTGCTAGCTGTGGCCAAGTGACCAAATTCCAACTGTTAAGATGTAAGTATTATGCAATTTCCAGGAAGTGGTTATACAGGGAGAGGCTTTTTTTCTTTCCTAATGACTGGAATATGAACTTGATGGCAGACACTCAAGCAGCAGCATTGGTCCACAAGGCAGCATGCAAGGGCAGAGTTGAGAGTTTTAGAGCAGCCTTGCACAGTTGGCTTTCATTTTTTTTTTTAAACAGAGAAAAAAGTAAATTTCTATTTTGTTTATGCCACAAGTATTTTGAGTTTTCTGTCACACAGAGTAGAACCCAAGACTGAAGACATGTATCTTCCTGGCTTCTCTTGAAGATAGGGCAGGGCATGTGGCCAGACTCATGCAAGGCGGGCTCTCTGGCTGGCATTCGGGATCCAGTGTTGGGTGTGTAGATGAAGCAAGACAAATTGCTCAGTGCTTGGTGGCAGCAGTGAGGCCTCACTGAACAGTTCTGCCACTGTTTTTGCTGGAAGGTCTCGACCTTGTCCTCTAGCTTACCTGACAATTCTGAATTATTTGAAATCCTATGAATATATTTCTTTCCTGCTTATTTCTGCCAAGATTGGTCAGTAGTGCAGAGTCTTAGTCACTATCAAAAATGCCTTTTAATGATAAATTCATCAAGACGGTTGGCTCTGCCGTCAAAGTCGTCCACTGACTAATCTGTTAACTCAAACTCAATGTGAGGCACGAATTCCATTTCAAAGTCAGAATTTTCTAACACCTTTGTCTCTAAAGAGGCTTCTGGCAGGGGCAGAGTTGGGTTCTTCAGAATATTTGGTGTCTTTTGTGGTAGGCATATGTGCCATCTGCTAGTAGAAGCGATGATATTTTGGGGGGCTGGCAGCAACCAGAATTAAACACAGATCTAATTACATTAGTCCAAGTTCAGTTAGAGGTATGTTCAAAGGACAGGAGCATTTCGTGTATCCTGAAGTCATTTATACAGCAACCACAGCTATTCAGAAAACTGCTAGGAAGTAGAAAAGGGATAAAACCCAAAACAAAATAAACAAAGAAACAACACCCTCAAAGCAAAACAAAACACAAAAAAATTGTTCACAGGCAAAATCGGTGTCACAGAACTCATCGCCTAGAGTTTATGCACTAAGTCGAAGGCCAGTCATTCCGACCTCCTTCAGAGCCATTCGGTCCGGGTGTCAACCCATGTTCCATGGAGAATGTAGACTGAGGACTTTCCATTCTAGGGTAGATTTGATGGGTTGTCTCTCAAGGGGATACAGCAGTGTTGCTGTGGTCCAAACTCTTCCAGAAACCAGAAGACCCTTGTGAGTTTGTGCTAACATCAGACAAATCTAGGATAATAAGTAGACCAGAAAGCCTGGAGCCTGAGCCCACTTAGTGCAGCAGCCTTTACTCTAGTACAGCTCAGTGTCGGCCTGGGGGAGTGAGTTTGCAAAAAAACTCCTGGCATCACGAAAAATGAGTGCTATGTTTTAGATCTAGAATGTCACCCCAAACCCTCAGGCTCAGAGATGGGGCTTTTGAAAGGTGACTGATTGGATCATGAGTCCATAGCTGACTGCCACTCAGAAGTGGGGCCTGGCTGGAAGAGGCTGGTCCCTGGGGGTGTGATCTGGAAGGGTACATTCTTGTCCCTGCTCCTCCCTTGGTTCTCTTCTGTCTGCTTGCCATGTCATGAGTAACTTTTCTCTGTCAGGTCCTTCTACTATGCCATTCCTGCCTTGAAGCCAGCCAACCATAGGCTGAACCCATTGAAGCCATAAGGCAAAAGCAAACCTCTTCTCCTTTAAGTTGTGGGTGTTGGGTGCTGTGCTGTAGTGATGGGAAAGTGACCAATACAGTTAGGAAATTCAACCAGCCGTACAGTACCCTGTGCTGGAGAACCTGTGCAACAATAGGGGTTCTCCAATTGTTGGTGGGAGAGTAACTACTTGGGAGACTGGTTTGATGGCAGCTTTCCGAGCTGAGTCCAAGCAGCGTTTTTGACCTTGCAGTTCCACACCTGTGGCAGAGAGAAGCTCTTGTGATGGTCATAGGAGTCATGTACCAGAAAACCCATGGCAGCATTACTAGTAGCACTCAGAATCTCTCAGGTATCCACCTCCCAACAGAATGAATGAACACATGTAATATTTTGTGCAATGGAATATTACACAGCATAAAAATGAAGGTACAAAAGCCATATCTGCTTCCATGGATGAATCTAAAAACACAATGTTCATCAAAAGGAAGCGATATAAGTAGGATTCCATTTATATAAAACAAGGATGTGATTAACATATAGTTTGGGGAAGGAAGAGACTTATAAGATACTATTATGATATTCTTTTTCTTACTTGGGTGGTAGGTCTGTTGATGTTTATTTATATTCTTTAAACTGCATACATATACTTTATTTATGTGTATGATATATTTCACCAATGCTTTTTAAAAGACAGAGGAGAAAATAGGCAAGTTTTGTTGAATGTATTCTGCTTAAGAAGACAAGATGGTATTTGATAACATTAGAGTTTTTTCTACCAACAATGAAAAACAGAAAAGGTTTTGGAAATCAGAGGGCTCAGTTTCATGACAGCGTCTCAATTTTTCCCTCTGTGGGAATAACCTAGATTCAAGTGAGTTTCTGAATCTTGAAAGAAAAGAGAGGGGTCTGGGGGAAGCTCACTGATGTGACACCCAGGTCCCTCACCAGTTGGCCCCAGGCTGCATTCCCTCCCTCTGACTGGTTCCTCATGGCACGGTTGGGTACTTGTTAGAAATGCAGAATCTCAGCCCCCACCCCACACCCTGACTCAGAATCTGTTCATTGACAAGATGCCCAGGGGCTCTGAATGTCCACTACAGCATGAGGAGCTTTGCTTAAGTCTAGACATGGACCAGGGGCCAGATACGCAGTTCTTTACAGTTTTAGGAAAACCGTAAAACTTTGCGGTACTGGGGAATTGAGCCAGGGCATTCACACAAGCTACATCCCCAGGCTTTTTTCTTTTTTCCTTTTTTTTTTTGTGTGTGTGTGTGTAAGGGTCTCACTAAATCACTAAGTTGTCCAGTCTGGGGTCAAACTTGTGATCCTCCTGCCTAAGCCTCTCAGAGTGCTGTGATTACAGGTATGAGTCACCAAGCCTGGGTTCAAAAAAGAAAAAAACAAAACAGAACAAAAAAAACCCCTGCCTTTTTTAACATTCCCAAGATGGGCACTCTGGGCTGCAGTGGACAGTGCTCAGGGAAAATTTCTTTCATTCATTCAAGTGATATTAGGAAGAATATGAAATTGCCATTTCATA